GCTAGTATTGGAGCTGATAAAAATCTTTGGTGGAGACATGAATTTAGGACTTGGGAGCGGTCCATCTGGATTCTGAAGTGCAAAATGAATGATTCTGAAGTTCGAGCTGTCCAACAAGTTTGTTTCGAAGTTGAGTGTATGCGCTGCCTGTAAGGACTCTGGGAAACATTTCTTGCAACTCGAAAAGCTGGTCATGATTCGGGTCGGATAAAGTGAAACCCGCTCACCCGCTCCGGTGTTGACGGTGTGTCGCGGGGTTGAGATTGGGCAGCATGGAGCAGCATCACGACTTTCAGAAAACCTGTCAAACATGTGAGTCCAAGTTGTTTTTATGAAATGGTAGGACAACATGAAAGTCTTTTGATTAACTGATTGCCTTCTACATCATGTCTCAACAGGTCATCATCAAATCGTCGCTTGTTCTACGATCCGAAGAATCCTAAGCTCCTTTCTGATGAAGAAATCAATGAACTTTCACCAGCAGAATGTGATGCAGCTTGTCTACAAGTTGATCAGATTCTCGTTTCACTTCTTCAGAGTGAGTCCCATACTTTGACAAATTCGACCCTTTCTCGCGTCCTGACCGATCAAATTTCATCCAGACATCGATGCCAACTTTGGACGAACCCATCGTACTATCACTCATAAAATCTTACCAGAGGTGGAGCGTTATGGTGAAGCAAGTAGAGGGATATGGGAAGGCCTCAAAGTTAGTCTTCTTAAAATGTCATTATGTTTAAGGTTGATCTGATCAACTATGATATGTCCAGTTCTGGCAACACTTCTTTGAGGCTTCTGCAAATGTTCAACTGTCAGGTTACGACGACGACGAGACGGAAACCTCCAAACTGACCGAAGACGAAAGGCGCGATGAATCTTTACAAAACGACCTGGCTTCAGAAGATGTTTCGCAGGACGTACCCCCATCACCCAACGAAGATCAGGACCTATCATCAAGCTCCCTTGTTCGTATTTGCTTTTGCTATGAACATCCCTATATGAAGTATCAGTATTCAACCCAGTCCTGATAACTTACACAGGATCCGGCCGTACCTTCTGGACCACCAGTGGTTGACATGAGTCATCAGAGCGGTTCAACAGCAAGTCTTCGCCGTCCGGTCTGGAATGATTTGAGTTTCGATTCACCAGACAATACTTTGCAGAATCCAACGGCTCAAAATATTTCACACATCTTGAATAATTCGCACAGTAATTCACTTGCTTCTGGTTTCACTGCTTCTCCTATCGTGCCTGGTGACGACGAGGGTGATTCGGGGAGAGAGGACGGCTCGCCAGCGCCACGTCGAAAATCTGCTGGAAGAGGTTCGATACTCTTGCATCAAGTTATCATGAAGAATATGATTCAAACCAATCACAGTAGACCTAAGGTAAGCACACCTGCGAAGCCAAGGGGGATCGGTCCTGAGGGTACTTCTGGTCGGATCGCTTTTCCTGCGGAAGTCAACGATCCCGGTTGGAACGGTATCGCTGATCTTAGAAAGACGACTCTAGAAAGCTTCACAAGTG